CCGGTAGGTTGCGTTCACTACTGCGCATCACATGAGTACAGGGTGTCTTATTTTCGTGCGTTTTTTGGGATTTGGGATATCTGGGATTTCTCGTTTATGAGTGGAGATACAATGATGCGTTTTTTTTTCACATTACTTTGTTAGTTTTTTATGTAACTAAATATTCTACCCCTCAATTTGCTCATTTCCTACACATGAACATTAATCAATCTTGTTTAAAAAGTATTATTATTTTATTTAATTTAATTTAACCAGATAATTTTGTTTTCCATCGTTATCTTAACAAACTGAACTGAAAATAAACTTGTGTAGCTTTTAGATAACAATCTGTTAAAAAAGTATTATTAATAAAATGATTATTAAAATAATAAACAACAGCTGAAAAAAATATTTTGAACAAAGACAGGCAGAAATTACCTTCATAAAGCATTAAAATGTTAATTTTTATATGTTATGTTTAAATCTTTAAAATGAAATTATAAACGAGAAATCCCAAAAACGCACAAAAATGGGACACCCTGTACACATGTGATGCGCAGTAGTGAACGCAACCTACCGGCGCGGCAGCCCGACCATCCTAAACCTGTCTAATAATTAATTACCACAATAATCCTTCAAAGCAAATGAAAGTATCAAATTCTACTTATATATATACTACGGATCATAAACCCATAAGCGCCATCCGTTCTGGTGATAAAAAAGCAAATATTTAATACTTTACTATCTGAATATAAACGAAAAAAAAAAAATAAAAAAGTTGCACCCCCAGCCGGTATCGAACCACTGACCTTCGCTTATAGGCGAAAGCTCTACGCGCTGAGCTAATGAAGACTTACTCGAATTTTATTCCATACTAGAATTTAAAGCGCTAAGTAAAAAATAGAGGATCTTCTTTGGATGCGCAGTAGTGAACGCAATGGGTATCGGCAGCCAGACGGGCCGCATGCTGTTCCAGAGAGCATAATAAAAGATATATCAAAGAGCCAGACGTCTTAAAATACTAGTTTTCCCGACGTTGCTAGCTCTCGTACTATATGGTAAGACTGATATCGGAGATGGAGAACTACCCAAGTAGCAAATTTTATTTTATAAAGGCTGTATAAACGGCTATGTGATAATTTTTATAGGATACCTCAATTCATATAACGTGCTATAAGACCGTAATATGATAGCTTTACAACCAAAAAAGGCCCATTTTTATACAACCGTTTAGTAGTATAGAAGTTCTATAAAAAGGGTATACAACTCTTATGCAACTATTTTACACAGCGTTATATAACTATTATAAAACTAGTTTTATTGTGTATTACGTGGTCACATCTAAGAAACAGAACAATAAAAATATTTGATCCTTTAGCGAGGTAAAAGAGTATTTTATTTTTTACCGAAGAATATTAGGAGCAAATTATATTTTAAGCGTGTCGTAAAATGAATCTAGAGGATGTGGATTGTTAAAAAGGAGACTACTCGACAATGAAAATGGCGGGTAGAGCCAGAAGGTACAACAAATATGTAATATAAAAAATCATTAATAGGGTTTGAAAAGTAGGGACAATTTTTGTTGTGCCGAAAATTTTACTGGTAGATTATAGGTATGTATTTGGCAAAAAATTAAAGCGCTTTCATTTCGATTAAGGTTTACGTATAAATTTAAACAATAAAATAAAATAAAATTTTCAAAAATTCTTGTTTTTAATTTAATTATACACTTTATTACTGTATGTGGGAATCTTATCACAAAATAGTTCTCAAAAATAACATTTTACAATTTATTTTGATGTCTTTAATTTTGCTTCATATAATGGCGGCCATAGTCCAAACAAAAATTCTGCCTTAAACATGGCGAATTATAATGCAATCATTTTATTATAAATGAATCCCTTAAATAAATCTTTGTTGTAAAATAAAACGATATAGGATAAATATCTATCATTACACAGAATTTCCAGGCACTGTAGAACTATTTTGGACATATTGAGATTTGTGACAAATAGATGTTGCCAAATCTCATTTGATTAGTATTTAAACAAACAAACATGATCAGATTTTCATGGATTCATGCACGCAATGCATTTCATGCGTGCCCGACGAGTGAGCGGCAACCTAAGGACTTGGAAAAACAACAATAAAACAATACAAACATTACTACAGTAAAACTTTTACATCAACGTGACAACAATGCTTTGAAGAAGCCAGATAACCTGAGAGATTTTAGCTTTTGGGAACCCAGGGAATTCTGGGGATTATTTGCCGTAATTTCGAGGAGTTTTTTCTTACGTGCTCTTTATAACTACCACTGCGTTTGTTAATTTTTTTCCAACTTTGTCCAGAATTCATAATAGCTGTGACTGATTATACTCGTACGTAGATATTACTTTTGCAACAACAACAATAACAAAATAAATAACTAAGTATACCATTTAATTTAAAATTATATACATTACCAGTTTTATTATATACATTACCAGTTTTATAATGCAGATATTACAGCGAATTTATTTCGTTAAGCACAATTTTATCATATAGGGCTATATAACTGGTGTATACAGCACCGTAGTTTAACGCAATAAAACATTCTATCATACAACGTAATACAACTTTAATAAGACAAGTTTAAGTAACTATTATATGATCTTGTGACTACTAGTTATATGAATATTATAGCCAAACCAAACTCTTACATGGTGGGTATAAGAGTCTAATAAAATAATATGTTTGTTATCATATAGCATTGTCTTATTAAGTGTTATATCATACTAAAAGAAATTATCGTTTAATGCGTTATAGGATACGTTGTAAAAACCACTAGAAAATAGTTTAATATGACAAATTTTATTAAAAAACAGAATGGTGGAAACCAAACGCTTAATAAAATCAAGCAGTCCTTAAGACAACGCTATTGACTGTTATAAAATAATTTAATCCTTTTAGAATTTCTTTTTGCTACTTGAGTACCTTCTATAAAACCGTCCCAGATACTGGCTTTTGTCAAAGCACTGGGACTGTATGATGTATTGTGAACTGCAACTCAAGGAAGGGGGACACAATCGATCTGTAAGGTGGCGGTGATTAACCCCCCTCCTGCTCTTTCTGCATTCAACAATTAACTAACAATAGCATTATAAAACCGGTCTTCACATATATATTTTTTTTTATTAAAAAAATGTGGAATAAAAAAATATATTCATAAACTATGCAGACCTCATACGGTTCTTGTTTAGGTATATTTATAGACTTTCCTAACAATATTAATGCCTTTACAGAGCATCAAAATAAGGTTCAAATATCGTGTGAAACACTTCTAAAATTCCACCACAAGCCAAGAATTGTATATATAAGTTAACTATTGTTCTAACTGGCAAAGTTTCAAATAGGCGAAAACAACTCTTCTTGATTAAATCTTCAAACACATTCAAGTAAGTTTATTTAAGTCTGTTATTATACTCTGGTAACTTATAGCGAGTGGAAATTTAATAAAACAATACAAGAAAGGTATTGTATATTAATTTCTAAGTAAGTATTAAGGAATTCCAGAAGCACTGCGATCGTAAGGCCTATTATGTTTGTCCCCGTTCTATGTCGGCACGACCTGGCGCGAATTTTGGCGAATGTTCTACTATGAACGCAGTTTTTTGCCTGTCTCTGCCATGGTAAATTTCTCAAATATTCTAGAGATTCTTTGGCCACTCACTGTTTAAAAAGTAACCTAGTCTTTAAAAATATTTGTTTTTAGAAGTTGTTTATTGTTCAGGAAATCAAAACATTGCAGAATAAAAAAATATTCTATATAATGTCTTCTTTTAACAAAATTTATTTAGTTCCTTCTCAAATGAACTAAAAAGATTCAAAAAGAAGCAATAATAACATTTCTCATTCAAACAAATTAGAGGTAGCTATAAAGTAGGTATATTTTTAATAGAATATTAAGTAAATTCTATTGGCTATTTCCGTTTCAAATAAATTTAATTTTGTGCTCTCCATTCACTATTAATCCAGGAAGATTGAACGTATATTTTTTTACGAAATGTTTGCTTTAGCCGAAATAAAATCAAAGGTACCGTTTAAATAAATATCATTGAAGTATATGAGAGTGAACGGATATGGTTTAGATTTTAATTCTAACTATATTTCTATCATTTGTACAATAGAAAGTTTTAACTATCTCTAGATGGCCATTCCGTACATCAACTGTTTTGTCTTTTGTTTTATTGTATGAACGTATTGCGCAGTTCTGAATGTACGCCAACTCTAATTAATATTAGAAGCGTGTCATAATATAATCTGCAAAAGCCAGAGGCGACAGACAGATCGCCAAGAGTTTAGTTCACCGAAAGACCGTGAACTGAAATATTAATCTTCTATTGTTTTCCGCAAAGAATTCGTAATTCAGGAGAGATCTCACTGACGAAGAATAGTTTTCATTATTTAGATTATGACAATTATATCAAGCACTAAATCCTAAAACTACTGAGCTTATAACTGGAGTTCGCAAAGTGGTTTCACGGCACGACACGAATTTCCATCGTTACTTTGAATTCCCTAACTTACAGATTCGAAACAATAAGCCTACGCGTTGACCTGTAATTTTTAGTCGGCCGACTATTTAGTTGCAAAAGTGAAAACAATGCATACTTATGGAGCCGATCGGCCGACTATTTGATTGCATGTGAGCGCGGCTCCATAGATATATATGGGTTACAAATATGCAAGTAAATAATCGGCCAATTAAAAATTGCCTGTCAGCGTATAGCCTAGGGCTACGCAATGCAATCAAATATTGGGCAGATCGGCTCCACAAAAATGTATTGTTTCCACTTTTACAATTAAACAGTCGGCCGACTAAAAATTACATGTTATTCTAAAAAAACTCATAAGAGACAGGCATAAAAATGCATGCTTCATTTAGAAATATGTAGGTAATAATTATTATTTTTATCTTTTTTTCAAATATGCGATAACTGTTTTGAGTGGTGTATTTTTAAATCTTAAACGTAACTTACTCAGACTGATGTTGTTCTGCTTCTGATGGTCCACCTGGCCCCTCAGCGCCCTTAGTTTGCGCAGCTTCAGTTCCTGCGCCTCCACCCTGTCGCGCAGCCTGCGCAGACGCTCGCTCTCCGCTTGGACCCGTTGAGCGCGCGCATCTTGCTCCTTCAGATAGCGCAGCCGTTGTTCTTTGGCCGCCAAGAGTTGGTGTTGCGAGTCGATCTGGGCCTGCTGCCTGCAAGCCATCTCGCGCAGTTCCGTCAGCGTCAACTGCACTCCGTCTGGTAACTGAAAAGAGAAAGAGAAAAAAATGAATCATATTGATAGTAAGATCATTTAGAAATACTAGTTTGCATGCGTTTGCACAATTTTTTGGTTATCACATTCATAGGCGTGTGCAAGAAATGATAGGGAATTTTATTACATAAACTTTTATTTACAAAAAAATACAAATAACATTACTCTATAAACGTGAAGGACCAGTGGTGCACCGAATATACAAAATATATCCAGTATGGTTGAGGCCACATGGTTTTCTATTTTAGTCTAAATTGTGCAAACTTAGTTAAGTAGTCCTGATAGACTAATATGAATTTATACGGGCCATTTGCCATTTATAATATATACATACGGGACATTAAATCTACTTGACATCGACTGATAATTTCCGGGTTTTACCACCAGTCCCTTTTTCGTGCATTTTTGTTTCGTTAGACATGATGCGTGCGTCATCTAAGATAGATGAACACACTTTCTTGCGTAATATTTTTATATTTTTAGCTCCTCCACCATTCTATTGCTATCTCCATGTCCAATAGCTAAATGAGTTTCAAGAATAATATTAATAAAGTCTGAATTGTCACATAATATTTAGTCTTTCTCATTTGGTTTAATCGGAGGAATCGGAGGAATGGAAAAAAAAATAATCTGATGTCTAAATGGAATCTTATTGAGCAAATCATTAACAAAGCAAAGAAAATTCAATATATATGAAACCATGATAAAGAGCAACCTCCTGTATGGAGCAGAAACATGGAGAATAACTGAGAGATACAAGAAGAGGATAGAGGCCGTAGAAATGGATGCCATTCGAAGATCAATAGGAATTTCAAGACAACAACGAATAAGAAATAATACCATAAACCAACAAATGGGTATAGAAGGTACGATAACACAGGATATAGAGAAAAAGCAGCTGATCTGGTACGGACATGTCGAGCGAATGAAGGATACTAGATGGCCCAAGAAAATAATCAATTGGCAACCAAAGGGCAGAAGAAAACAGGGAAGACCGAAACTGGAATGGCAAAAAAGCGTACACAAAGCGATGAGTGAAAGAAACCTGTCAACAGAGGATTGTACGAATAGAACAGGCTGGAAATTGTGTATCGTACAATTGGGTTCTAAACCGACTAATTACAGGGTGTCCCAGAAATAAGTGCAAATATTTTAACTGGTAGTATAATTTAACCCCAGAAACACGCCTATGAAGGTATTTTCGCGAAAAAAAAATTTGAAAATTCGAAATTTTTTTGATTTTTTTTAGTTTTTAGTTAAAAAACATAATTTCTTGATAATATGGCAACATAGGTATTAGATTAAATATACAAGAAAAAAAATCCAAAAAAGATCCAGTGGTTTTCAAAATTTTAGCAAAAAATCATTTTTTTAGGAAATTTTCAAAGTAAAATAACTCCGTTATTTTGGACTTATTTGAAAAACGATAAAGAGAAAATATGTTTCTTTTATCGAGATCTACCACCCCTTAAAATATTTGCACTTATTTCTGGGACACCCTGTATATATTAATCGGAGGAATTAATTTTTTAACGCCGCCTATGTTACACACATCATAACGTTTTAAACGATGATATTGTTGAGGAGTTTTGGAGACTGTATCTTTTGCCGCCGATGTTAGACACATCATAACGTTTTGAAAACTTCTTCATTAAAATGTATCTTTAACTTGTTTAAACTTTCTATATTACTATCCATGTTGACAAAGTATATTATACTTACACATGAATCATTTTATACGGTTGCTCTTGGGTAATTCGCGTTTTAACCTGTTTGCGGTGGATAATACGCGAAACTAAGACAGATTAGGGTTTTATCCATCGATTTTAGATAATTCGCGTTTTAACCTGTTAATTTCGCGTATTATCCGTAACATCAATACGGGCACATATCGTATAATTACTCTATTATATAGATTTAGCTACTTGTTTGCCTTTTTAATTTATAAATTTCATCGTGTATAGTGTTGATAATTACACTGGACACTATACCAGTTGCGTCTCAAAAGTGGCTCACCCCTATAACTTTTTTATTTTTTGAGATAAAAAACGAGATTTGGTATGTTAGTATATGACATAAATTAGGATTGATTGACGTATTCAATTGTTTTTGGTCACTTCCTGTTTCACCGGAAATGACTACAACTTTTGATTTTTAAATGGCACCCTCGGTATATTTTTACTTTAATCGATAGAAAATTACATTCTGAATAGAATGATGTACCATATGTCAACTTTTGACATTTTCGCTTGCAAAAAAAATCGTATTTTAAATTTCAACCTAGGGTGCTCAAGAAACCTTGGAAAAACAGATTTGATCATTTAATGTTTTTCGTGTCTTCTCCTGGTGGGTTAAAAGATGCACAAATCGTTTTTTTAATCATCAATTTTTTCAAATGGAACAAGGGTGGCTCATTAGATTACAGTTAAGGGTTGGAACCTTTGGTGTTAAACAGCAAAAAAAAAGATTATAAACTGTTTATTCAGTTTATAATCATCTGCTGATGATGCTAACATGGTTAGCGAAACGCGCGTCCAGTGTAAAAGTAAAAGTGTTTTGGTGTATTGTGGTGATTTTAACATATTTGGAAAAAGCATTTTTTTACGAATAATTTGGTACCACACAGTTGATATTTCGAGTCAAATTTTATGAATCGCATGTTACAATTTCAAATAAACTATACGCGAAAATGTCAAAAGTTGACATATGATATGTCATTCTACTCAGAGTGTCATTTTCTATAGAATAAAGTAAAAATATACCGAGGGTGCCATTTAAGAATCAAAAGTGGTAGTCGTTTTCGGTAAAACAGGAAGTGACCAAAAACAATTGAATACGTCAATCAATCCTAATTTATGTCATATACTAACATACCAAATCTCGTTTTTTTTTTATCTAAAAAAATAAAAAAGTTATAGGTTTGAGCCACTTTTGAGACGCACCCGGTATACATACTGAACGTTTCCCAAAAATAAATATTCGTTCACTATTTTTAAACCAACTATACTATTATATATTTTATTTAATTATAATAATAAATTAGCTCTATGATATATGTGTGCATCTTTAAAAAAAGAACATGCCATTTCTATTATAGTCATAAATAACTCACGCTGTGAACAAAGAAGATCGGAGTTGCAAGTTGTTTGAAACTTAAATGAAGTCGTCGATAACTTTATATATCAAATTAATCTACAGTTCTAAAGTAGGCCTAGACATAAATTGCATGTATGTATTTGCTATTCATTTCCCTTTGCATAGCACCGCCGTACAAAGACGTACTTTATGATAACATTTAGAAGTATCAAGCGCAAGAGCCTGCAGCAAAGTACGTGGCGCGTGTTTTAGCAAGAGAGAGATGTAGTGTTTCTGTTTTATTACTAAACTCGTAACGTAACTCTTGCTTTAATAAAACAGACTGTAAAAGCATCTTTCACAGGTTCTAATAATAACCTAATGTAACAATAATTACACTGAAAAAAATATTGTTCATAATATCACAGAATATCTATCATTGTCCCAATGAACGCGTTCTTCATTTTAGTGCTGAAACTTTAATAAACACATATTCATTATATTAATGTATTAAATCATTGATTAATGAGTTGTACAGGGTGAGTCAACGATAGAGTAAAGTCCATTATCTCATTTGTTTCGAGGTTTACAAAAAAATGTTAAATACAAAAGTTATAGGGAAGGTTAAGATACACATTTTAAAATTATTATAGAGTATACAGGGTCCTTCAAAAATGTGTGGCGGATATAACATATGTTTTTTTAAATGCAACACCCTATTTTTTTATTTTATTTTTAGATTCTGCGTAAAATTCTATAACTTTTTTATATATAATGTTATATACCTAAAATTAAGAGTTTTTGTAATATTTAAATTGGTTTATACAAATGTTAAATTGCAATGTGGTAAAAAATTGTCAGTAGTGTTTCTGAAGTTGGAATACCAAAATTTGGTATGAGAGTTCTATAGAGAAGATATATGTTAAGATATTTTAGTTAAATGCTACAGGGTGTTCAAAATATATTTATGAATTTCAACTACTTAAAATTAAAAAATCTGAAATTTTTTAAATGGTACACCCTATAAATTTTCATTTTTTCTGATAGATTTTGAAAATCTCTTCAACTTTTATTAAGTATGTCATATACCTATTTTTAATAGTTTGCGATTTATTCCATTTTTTTCTATTTTTACCCTAATTTTTAATACAATTACGCTATAACATCATAGTTACTGTAACAAAACAAACATATTTATTACTTATTTTTAATAAGTAGTTTAATAATCAGTTACAATTGTTATTATTAGTCAAAATTAACTAACTTTACTCAAATATGCAACCAAACGTGAAGTGATGTGAATGAAGTGATGTGATGTGTTCAGCTTTCAAGTGTAAAAGCGGCAACGATAAGAAAGAGTCAGGCGTTTTCTTATTGAATTTGGTAATTATTTTTCTGATACTATATGTACTTGATATGTTGATATGATACTATTATACTTGATATGATACTAGTTTTGTACCTTCTGTTAACATTTTAATAAGTTTTTTTCGTAATTAATTAGTATGATACCACCGCTTACACCATAAGCGTGTTCAAAACACTTATCAAGATATAAATATCCTTTCAAGCAGCTAAGTTAAGAAAAATATATGGCCACGGCACTGTTTGGAGTCATGGTAACAATTTGGTCTCGGGTGTTATATGTAATTGTATTCTTTAGTCATTGCTGTGACCAGTGATAGATAGCAAAAAGACAAAACAATTACTAGGGCACAAAAAGAACTTAGTACGCATAATTGTAGGTATCATCACTACTATCTATGTCTATGTCTACTGTCTCACGGGGTAACCTTCGTGAGATGGAAGATTTCCAATGACGATTTCTTCAAAGAATGCGGAAAGGAAGAAGAAACCATAGAGTATCTGCTGTGTCAATGTCCGGCATTGGAATACCGACGCTTTAAAACTTTAGG